AATATCATTAGTACTATTTCTACATTAGACATGTAATGTACAATTAATAACAATATTATTATTACCATATCCACGTTTGATATAACATAATATACTGATTACTACCCACAGATCAATGTACATTTACTAACAATATCATTAGTACTATGTCTACATTAGATATGTAACGTACATTTAACAACAAAATCATTATTACCATATCTACATTAGACATAATGTAATATACTGATTCCTTCCCACAGATCAATGTAGATTTAATAACAATATCATTATTACTATATCTACAGTACATATAATGTCATACACAGATTCATTCCCACAGATCAATGTACATTTAATAACAATATCATTAGTACTATATCTACATTAGATATGTAATGTTCATTTAATAACAATATTATTATTACCATATCTACATCACATATAATGTAATATACTGATTCATTCCCACAGATCAATGTACATTTAATAACAATATCATTATTACTATATCTACATTAGATATGTATTGTACATCCAAATATAATATCTATATTACCATATCTACATTACATATAATGTAATGTACGGATTCCTTTCCACAGTTCAATGTATATTTAATAACAATATCATTAGTACTATATCTACATTAGATATGTAATATTCATATAATAACAATATCATTAGTACTATATCATCATTACAGAGGTAATGTACAATTAATAACAATATCATTGCTAACATATCTACATTAGATATAATGTAATATACGGATTCCTTCCCACACATCAATGTACGTTTAATAACAATATCATTAGCACATATCTACATTCGATATAATGTAATCTACTGATACATTCCCACAGATCAATGTACATTTAATAACAATATCATTATTACTATATCTACATTCGATATAATAACATATTCAGATTCATACCCACAGATCAATGTACATTTAATAACAACATCATTAGTACTATATCTACATTCGATATAATGTAATATACTGATTCCTTCCCACAGATCAATGTACATTTAATAACAATATCATTATTACATTACATCCAATGTAGATATAGTACCAATCACATTGCTATTAAATGTAGGTACATTGATCTGTGGGAAGGGATCAGTATATTACATTATATCTAATGTAGATATAGTAATAATGATATTGTTATTAAATGTAGGTACATTGACCTGTGGCAAGGGATTAGTATAATACATTCTATCCGATGTAGATGTAGTATGAATGATGTTGCTATTAAATGTACATTGATCTGTGGGATGTAATCACTATATTACATTAAACCTAATGTAGATACTGTAATAATGATATTGCTATTATATGTACACTGATCTGTGGGATGTAATCACTATATTACATTATAACTAATGCAGATATAGTAATAACGATATTGCGATTATACGTACAGTGATCTGTGGGAAGTTATCACTATATTACATTACACATAATGTAGATATAATAATAATGATATTGTTATTAAATGTACATTGATCTGTCGGAAATAATCAGTATATTACATTATATCCAATGTGTATATAGTATAAATGAAATTGTTGTTAAATTTAGGTAAACTGATCTGTGGGAAGGGATCAGTATATTCCGTTATATCCAATGTAGATATAGTATGAATGATGTTGTTATTAAATGTACATTGATCTGTAGGAAGGAATCAGTATATTACATTGTATCCAATGTAGATATAGTATGAATGATTTTGTTATTAAATGTAACTTGATCTGTGGGATGGAATCAGTATATTACATTATATCTAATGTAGATATAGTACCAATTATATTGTTATTAAATTTTCGTACATTGATCTGTGGGAAGGGATCAGAATATTACATTATATCTAATGTAGATACAGTAATAATGATATCGCTACTAAATGTACATTGATGTGTGGGAAGGAATCAGTATATTACTTACATTATATCTAATGTAGATATAGTAATAGTGATATCGCTATTAAATGTACCTTGATCTGTGGGAAGGGATCAGTATATTACATTATATTTAATGTAGATATAGTAATAATGACATCGCTATTAAATGTACATTGATCTGTGGGAAGTAATCACTATATTACATTATACCTAATGTAGATATAATAATAATGATATTGTTATTACATGTACATTGATCTGTGGGAAGGGATCAGTATATTTCTATTTTCTATATCATTTATACCAATATTCCATAGCTATTAATAATATCTACTTCATTGTTAAATTGGGTACCAAATACATTTCAGTTTTCGGAGGCGGCGCAAAATTAAAAATACCCGATATACGATGCTGCCAATAACGATTCGACTGCGGTATGGGAAACCTGGTAATTAATAGATACGTCAGAAAACATTCGTATTTGTAACGATTGTATCAGAAGTTGGTAGCACTTCTGATGTACATGTATACTGCAATTCTCGGGAGACCACACTTAACTCGCGCAGCTCACTAGGTTTAGGGACATTTTTAATAACGTGTGTCATTCCTCTCTTCAGCTTGCTTTTTACTTTGCGATCATTTAAATGGTGGACAGAAATATATGATGTACGATAACTGATACGCGATGACGATATGGTAAAGATACACGATACAGCGAAGTTTCTATTACTTTTCAATGAAAAAAATTATATCAGACACGTTATTAAAAATGTCCCCAAACCTACTGAGCTGCGCGAGTTAAGTATGGTCTCTCGTGAACTGCAGTATAGTTCATCCGCAATGAGTATGTTGATTCCCGTTGAATGTTGTTTACTTGAAATTATCAAATGGGTCATTTGTCATATGTTGCCGACCCCTGAACGAGGATCTTCCTAGTAGAAGAAAAGTTTATAATTTTGCGCCGCCTCCGAAAACTATCTAAAGCCTATTTAAATCCTATTTAACGATTAAGTAGATATTATTAATAGCTATGGAATATTGGTATAAATGAAATAGAAATTATTTGACACTTTTTAGTGCATTTCGAAGTCGGATGTTTTTTTTGTTAAAAATTATTTTATTTCACACTTTTTAGTGGAATTAGATGAACGAAAAATATTTGTAGGATGCCGTTATATGGTTTTCCGTTCTTAATAGTTAAGTAAGGATCAAATACAGGTGATTAATAATAAAAAAAGGAAGTACAACCTGTACCATTTTTTTTTATAAGTGACTAACTTTATTATGTAATTAATAAAAACTTGACTGAACTATATTTCCCCTACCCCCCCCCCCCCCCCCCCTATTCCCCTACCGCCCTTCCCCTTCCGTCCCGGTACCCCTTCAAGCGCCGCGACCTACCAGCCGCTACTCCCCTCTCTGTAATGTAAAAATTGAAATTATTAGATATGTATTTTTTTTCACAGAATATTATTATTATAAATATTCGCCCTTATATTGAACAACAGAGATGTTCTGATAAGGGCAATATTGTATTCCTCTGTACGAGGCAAGAATTCATAGTATAATAAAAAATAATCTGTAATACATACTTCGCGGTGGCCTACCCGCCACCTTCTTCTCCTCCTCCTGAGGGAGGGGCTCCTCCCACGGTTGGTCGCCCTGTCCATGCTGAGGGAGGAGCTCCTCCCTCAGTTGTAGCAATTGTTGCTCTTATTGTTGCTGCAGCAGCTGCATTTGCCGCTGATGCTGCTCGTTCTGCTGCTGCAGCAACAGCTGCACGTCCCGCACCAATTTTTGATCTGAAAGAGAAATAAAAAAAAAAATATATATATATATATTACAGGCATGTTTCTGAATCATACAATATATGCATTTTCCAGAGTTTCTTTTAATTTTACTTGAACTCTTTTACCATTATTAAAGTTGAAATAATACTTACAATCGTTTTCAGACTGCTCCATTTTTTTTTAAATTTTATTTTTATTATTTTTTATTATTACGTTTATGTTCTGAAACAAAAATATGTAGATGTAATATTTGCAAAAAAAGATATAAGTAATAACAGTTACATTAATATTAATTAATGACTAGCGGTGGAAGATTATCGATTACAGTGGTATAGTGTTCATGTTGTATAGAACGAAAGTCACACGAACGGCGACAAGACCGTATATATCGAAACACATCTATACTTTTTAAAGCGTATTAGGATAACTAACATTCAATATGTACTTCTTATATATTTTTTTATTATAATCATTGAATACGAATCCGGAAACTATTTTCAACAGTGGCTAAAATTTTTGATTATTCCAATTGCGAAATATATAAAATATTATGAACTACGTATGTTTAAACGTCGATAAAAGTGATAAAAATGACATTCGAAATGCAGTAGTACTCAAATATTTTTTTTCTTTAAATTCAAGTTGTAAAAAAAGAAATTTTAATTATTATATGCATGTGCGATTTCAAACCAAGTTTACTGTCGACTAGTATAAATATATATAAAAAAAAAATTATTCGTTTGTTCCCCCATTTAATTGCGTTCGTTATTTAACACCCGAACAACGTTTCTAATAGCGATAAACGGTTCCTACATTCGTATTCAGCGCTCATTCAACCGTTAGAAAGCAATATTGAATATAAACATTTTAAATAGAAATAAAAGGTTTTATTGATAATAAAAAAAAAGAAAATATCTATTCATATTTGTTAACATATTTGTATTACTTTTTTATTATAATAATTGTAATAAAAATTTGTTAACAATTCAAAATCTAAAGTTAAATAATGAAAATAATAAGTTATTCTTTGATGTAATAAAAATATTTTTGGTCAAAGTAACTATAATAATACACCAACTAAATAAACCGTACCACCAGCCATTAAGAATTATTAATATATATTATTATATACAACGTATACAAAAATAAAATATTGCTCGTTCCGTACTTACCACCTGTTCGATTCACTGATCGTATGAAACTGAGCAGGAATCTCTGACTTCCAAAGGGAGAGAGGTGGTGGGGCACATTCCAGGATCGCACAAATTGTTCTCTATGTTTACATTCCTGTTGGTATGTGCGTAGTAGCTTATATTGAACATAAATATTCGTAAATATTCTATTCACCTCAAATGCGCAAAAACCAAACGGCGTACAGTCAATGATGGAAATATTCATACCCTCTTAATGTAGCCAAGAAATGTACAAAGTATAAGTACAGTAAGTGTAATAAAAAGTGTCTAGTCAACGTTTAGAACAGAATACCTCATTTAAAATTGGACCAAATAACTTGAGGTTTTTTTTAATGAGAAAATACAAATTTATTTATTAAGATATGTGTTTTTGTCGTTTAAAAAAATTACAATTTGTTGAAATTGTGAAAAAAAATAGTAAAAGGCAATTTTTTTCATCTCTTTTCATGTGAGCCTATAATAAGAATTTGAAATATGTCTTTCGTAAATTCAAATAAGTTGTGGGTATGCAGAAAATTTCGTCGAGATCTGCCAATGCACTTAGAAGTTACAAATAATTAAAATTTCTGATAAAATGTGACTATTTATATTCTTAGATGAATAAAAAGTCGCGATTTTCGAAAATTTTAATTACTTGGTAGTGCTAAATACATTGACCGATCTCGATGAAATTTTCATCATACACATAACACACTTAAATTTACAAATGTCATATTTTAAATTTTCATTGCAAACTCACATAAAAAAGTTAATAAAAAATTGCCTTCTACTATTTTCTTTCACGATTTCAACAAATTGCAATTTTTTAAAACGACAAAAGCACATATCTTAGTAAATGAATGTGTATAAGTTCTCAAAAAAAAACCTCAAGTCATTTGGTCCAATTTTAAATGAGGTAATCTGTTTCAAACGGTAACCGAACACTGTTTTATTACACTCAGTATACAACCTGTCGGAATACGTTTTCTTCGATAAAACGTAATGTGTCGCGATGTGCTTTTACAATCCGACTCTGGTAAAAAAGTTGAAGATTATTCAGTTCGAAGAATAATGTAATAATTATAAAATTATACACTGGGCATTAAACAATCTTCATTTAAACCCAATGAAGAATTTATTGGCAATATTGAAAAATTTAATTTACATAAATAAACCTGTAAACAAAAAAAAATTAGCTTCGTGAAGCAAATAAGGCAACGTGAGATAAAATCATAACGATATAAATATACGAATCAGTGCCAAGACGCATAAAGCGACGCGTGGAAATGTAATTGAATATTAAGTAATGCAAATTTTAATGCAAGTATTTCTGAATTTATGTTACATTAGATCCATTTAACATTGTCATGAGTTTTGTACTTATACTGCATTGCTTTACGTATGGAAAACGTTGATGTTCAGCGCTGACATCGTACCGTCGTATTCAATGAATGAAAAACTTATTATTGCCGCAAAATTCATTATTTTCCACTTATCACTCAATGTAACGGAAATCTACTATAAGTTGGCCTATTATTGCGATCGTCCTCACAACATAAACAAACATAGCTAGAACTCATAGACAAATCGCGTACTCAGTTGAAACGAATACATGGCAACGTTACATCTTCAATTGATTGATACTTGATTGAATCATTTGAAAATTGCTCGAAGGTAGTCGTTTTTAACTAATAATATTGAATTTTCGAAAATCCAAAACCGGCCACGTCTGGTTGGAGCGACTGGCAATTGTTTCCAAAATCCAAAACTGACCACGTCTGCTTGGAGCGACAAATAATTGTTTGTAAAAACAAACCAACCGCGTCTGCTTGGAGCGACCAATAATTGTTTATAAAAACAAACCAATCGCGTCTGCTTGGAGCGACCAATAACTGTTTGTAATAAAAAACAAACCGACCACATCTGCTTAGAGCGACAAATAATTGTTTGTAAAAAAAGACAAACCGACCACGTCTGCTTGGAGCGACCAATTGTTTCTAAAATAAATAAAAAACAAACCAACCACGTTTGCTTGAAGCGATGGGTAGACCTACAAAACATGCATCCCGTATAAGGAAGTATCGTGCGAATGAATCAAACGACGCCACGCAATTACGTCTGTACAAAAATTGCAAAAGAAATACAGAAACACGATGTCATGAAACTATTAACGAACGCCATTTGAGATTATCTGCAATGCGAAAATATATGCGTTCAAAATTATTGCGTGAAACGATAGAGGAGAAAAAACGTCGCCTAACGATAATTTATAATCGTTTAAAGAACGAATCTGTCGAAGAACGATCACATAGGCTTAGATTAATCAGTAGGCGCCTAGCAAACGAATCTGCTGAGGAACGATCACGTAGATTGAGATTAATCCATAGACGCTTAGCGAACGAATCTGCTAAGGAACGATCACGTAGATTGAGATTAATCCATAGACGCTTAGCGAACGAATCTGCTGAGGAACGATCACGTAGATTGAGATTAATCCGCAGACGTTTAGCGAACGAATCTGCTGAGGAACGATCACGTAGATTGAGGTTAATCCACGGACGTTTATCCAATCAATGTATCGAAGAACGTTCACATCGTCTAATGCTCATGAAAAATCGTAATCGTAAAGTATTTTTAAGGGAAAGTACCGAATCAAAAACCACACGTTTAAGAGATATGCGCGAACGAGCTAAAAACCAAAGGAAAGAACGTTTCCTCCAGGAAGATTACTTTGAATCGGCTATTCATATTTTTGCTGATGTACCGTGTGCGGTGTGTTGCAAGACTTTATATCCGCAGCAACGTTACGCTTTACACACGCAGCCTTTGTCTGATCTAATTCCTGCAAATCTAATGGAATCAGAGAAGATAACAACATGTTCTCGTTGTCTAAATCATCTTAAAAAGCACAAAGTTCCATCACAGGCATTTTGGAATAAAATGGAACTAATGTCTGTACCTCAGGAGATAGCAGATTTATCGGAAATCGAGAAACAAATGTTGTGTAGAATAGTGCCGTTTCTTAAAATCATGAAAATTCAAAATCGCTTCAGTCAGGATTGGTGCAAAGGTCAGGTAGTCCTATTTGCCCGCGATGTGTTCGAAGTAGCCGAGCAACTTCCAGTCCAATTAAACCATACCGGTATAATGATTGTAGTGGAAAGTTACGAAAATTTGGAACGATAGCGACAATTTAAAATAGATGTTGGAAAGCTTCGGGTAGCCTTACAATGGCTATTACAAAATAATGCTTTGTACAAAGACGTACAACCATGTTTTTCAAACATTACCAGTAATATTTTCGAAATAGCTCATGTCATTGAACAGCCGGCTATTGTAACAGAGGAAATTGAAATTGCACAAAGAAATACTGAACCAAACAGTAGATTTGTAGACGTTGGTCAGAATGTAGCTATTTTACGAGGCACGTTTCATCAAGCTAGCGATCGCTTCAGTATCGAATCTCGTGGCAAGCAGTGTACTGGCATAGCTGTAGTTGCATGTGTTGCGTTTCATTCCCTTGATCCTAGTACGTGGTGTACTAGTGATGTCGATTATGTGGTAGGAGATAAATATTATCGTGATTGCATTGAAGCGCGAAGTATTCCTAACCCCAACGAAATCAATGTAGACTATTTAGCCGCAACTGAATTATTGCCACATGTAATATTTAATAATAGGCGAATCAGTATTAACGTTGACTATGAAATGTCGGTAAATGGTCACATTGATATTGATAACGGTGATGATGGATTTCCAAATTTAAAAAATGGTTTGATTACATTTTTTCAACGGTATATGTACGGAATTCTTACTGCGAATCTTACGTCAATAGCCGTATCATGCAGCAACCAGTCGGAGACCACCTGTTATTGGTTGTTTGATTCCCATGCAAGAGGTCCAAAAGGATATAAAGCACCTCATGCTGTATGAAATTTACTACTATTGATGTTTTACACGCCACTTTGCGTCGTAATTTGTATGCGAAACATGGCAACAGTAATGTATTAAATATCTACTCATTAACACCTGTAAC